GTAATTTCTAGAATGACGGCAGTTATATTAACATCTTATACGGCTCACATCTCTACGGCAGACAGGCTCATTTATCTTCATGAGCWTTTATTATAAGAGGTATTTACATATTATACATATTTACAATTCTCTCCCACCACCAAAACCAACAAAATTTCCAGCACAAGTTGCTCATGAATTTCTTATGAACGAAAGACACTGAAATATTCACTGTTCTCCCCTCACTTGTTTGAGTCTTTTTCTGTTTTGTAATTTGCCCTTCTGATTAGTTCTTCCTGGAGCTCATTTACACATCCATAGGGCTCATCATTTTTCGCCTTCTAAAGAGTCTTTATCTCTTCAAATCATGAGTTTGTGTGCCTATCCTCTTTCCCTTTTAGTTAGATCTCTTAAAATTGTTTAGAAGGATTTTTTTTTCTTTTTTTTTCTTTTCTGTTTCATCCCTTTCAAGAAATAATTTCAAGAGCATCATCTGCTGGGTGTCTGGCTTTGTGCTAGGCGCTGAGACAAAGGTGGATTTACAATGTGCTCTTCAGGAGGGGGAGCCTGGTGACTGGCTTAGTCAGTGGGCAAGCACATTATCAGAGTGTGGTGGGGACAGCAGGGACCACCTCTGGAGTTCCACAGAACAAGGCACACACATCCTCAGTGTCCTGTTTCTTACATGGATAAATAAAGGAGAGAGGGAGTGTAATGGGCTGAATTGAATCAACTTTCCAAATTTATATGCAGAACTCTAATCCCCCCACCTCAGAATGTGGCTTTATATGGAAATAAGAAGCTTTAAAGAAATGATTAAGTGAAAATAAAATCACCAGAGTGCATCCTGCTCCAATGAACTAGTGTCCYCATAAGAAGAGGAGGGTGGGACCCAAACACTCACAGAGGAACAATATTAGGAAGACACTCAAGGCTCCAAAGAGCACCAARGGGAGACAGGTCTCAGAGGAAACCAGTCCTGCCCACATCTTGATCTTGGACTTCCAGCTTCCCCAGTTATTAGGGAGGGAAAAAAAATCTGTTGTTTAAGCTCTGAATCTAYGGTACTTTGTTATGCTACCTCTTGCAAATTAATACAGGGAATAATTATAGACCTGCAGAGAAAGAACGGTATAAAGATGCATTTAGGCTTTTGTGTGCCACACACCATCTTGGAGCTATCCCAGATGACAGTGGGACTTTCCAGGTCACCATAGTGGGCACTGGTTGTTTTTTGTGTGTAGGGTTCATTCCTCTTCTAGGATCAGCATCRGCATCTTGGTTATTCCGGAGGACCCCGCTTCCCTGTGATGATAATCGTGAAACATGGGGCTGACCCTGCTCCCTCCATTCCCGGATTTAGAGACACTTCACAAGCTCTGCCCCTTCATGACTGTAATTCTAGAACATTCCACAGAATGTAGCTTCCTACATTCAGCTCTTCTGAAAAGAGTGGAGACAGCATTGACCTGCTGGTCCAACACCGGCCAACAAACTACGTATTTCTCRGGGTGTATGGACGGAATGTTATTGCCTGCACCACAGGCTCACGGAGCCAGCGGTATTTCTAAGTGTGTATWGACAGAAGGCCTTTCTCCTCTGTAGCCTCCTTTACCTCATAGCTGTATCCATTATCCTCCCTGCCAGAAGTTGTCAGTCACTCTGGAATGTGGGGCTAGGTGGGCAAAGTCTAAAGCAGGGTCACCGTGGGTACGTGGACCCTCTCCCTGCAGGGTATCAGAGTGTGGGTACTGGTGACACTTGGGAAGMAGGGATGACAGGGATCAGGAATCCTTGCCTGTGCCCAATATGGTCCTCTGTTCATCACACCAGGTCCTGTTCTCTCCAGCCGGCTGATCCCAGACGAAGAAAACATTGGGGGAGGGAAGGTTTTGGAAGAGGACCGTGAAAGGGGCTACTCAGGGCCGAAATCAGACACACACCTCACCACCCCAAGGACTGATGTGCTTCTGCAAAACTCATCTGGTCTCAGGCTCTACTTTTAGCAGCATTTAYGCTCACTCATATTGATGGACAATGAAGGACACCTGTCTCGTTCTTCAAATGTCCTCTTACACCAATG